AGTTATGCTCCTTAACTGCAAATTTCTCAGCAGAGCAACAGTCCTCTTAAAGCTGAAGTTTGTCAGCTAAAAGTTAAGTTGCGAAGTAGCCCATTAAACATTTCAATAGATGGGAATTGGAACTCAGTCCTGCAGTCTAGCCCCACATCGCTTTCCCAGATACCTTCTATCCACCTTTGGTGTTCTTTGTTCTTTCCCTGAGCCCTGTTCTTTGTCCTGTGGCTTGTCACCTTTTGTCACCTTCTGTTGTTGGTTGTCTCCCTTCTGTTTCCTTTTGTTTTCTCTCTTTCCTTTGATTCTTTCTTGATATTCATTCTACTCTCTCTCTTTCTCCATTTTACCTGAATTTACACAAAATGAGAGTGTTTCTTGTACTAAATACAACTCTTCTGTCTTCCACTACAAATTGTTGAGTCAGTAACAAAAATAAAAAATGAGAAGAAAAATAAATAAGTTGTTTCATTATGTTTTAGAAGAGTACTTAAAGCTAAGCACAGCATGATGGCTTACAACTGTAATCTCAGCACTCAGGAAGCTGAAGCAAGAGAGATTCAAGGCCAGCCTAGGCTGTAACACAGTATTATGTCTCAAAGCATGTGTGCAAGTGCAGAGAAAGAGAGAGAGAGAGAGAGAGAGAGAGAGAACTTAATAGAAAACATCTGATCCTAAACAATTTTAGCTTTGTACAATACCCATAGGATTTCTCCTACATTCACAGGCATTTAATTTTTTGAAATATTTTATTTCTCATTTTTATTTTCTGTGTAGGAGTATATTGCCTGCATGTATGTGAGTGTACCAGTGTCATGCAATGCCACAGAGGTCAGAAGAGGGCTTCGGATTCCTCTGAAACTGGAGTTAAGGATGGTTTGTAGCTGCCATGTGGGTGCTGGGAATCGAACCTGGGTCCCCTGAAAGAGCAGTCAGTGTTCTTAGCCACTGAGCCATCTCTCCAGCCCGACATTTAATTTTTTAACACATTATCACTGCATTTGTGAATTATTTTCACATCCTCCTCTTTTGTACTTAATTCTTAGGAATCATTTATACTTTATTTCAAGGCTTAATTTATATGCTGTTAGATAAAAAGGTGGTAGGGGTAAAGAGGACTCTGGCAAAGTGTGAGTTTAATTGGGTTTGGTGGGGCTGGTCCTCAACTCAGGTGTGAGGAAGAACCAGCAGCTAATGGCTGCGGAGGGGTAGCTTATAAAGGGAAAGAATGAGGAAAAAGAGAATATTTTTCTGCTGTTTTGGAGGCTGCTTGCTCATGGAGGGTGTGGGTTCTGTACAAATATCTACTGTAAAACATGTGTCCTACACTTACAGGGTTCTAGGAATTAATTGCAGCTAAGGGCTTGGGAAACCTGTTTGTCAGCCTGTGGGGCATGCTCTGGTGATCACAAAACATTGGTCATTAACTTCCTGGAGGCTGCTTTCATTAACTTGCAGGTGGCTAGGAATTGGTTGACTCAGCTCCTCTTAGGAGCTTCATGGTTTCTGGGTCTGGGGTCACCTGGATCTGAGTCTTATCATATGTGTCCATAATTTTCTGAGTATTTATTTTAACTTTTTCTTTAAAGATATAAACATAGTAAAGACAGGAGCAAAGGCTCAATCCAATAAAAACAGCAAGCACTGAGTATTGTTCTTTCAGTACTTACCCTGCATGCTAAGTGCCTCGCCTTCAATACCTAGATACTTTACAACTCAAGGAGCAACTTATACTTTTCCATCTCCAGGACCAGAGATCAAGTAGCCTCACATGTATCAGCAGCACCCCCAAACCTAAGGAAATTAGTGGTAGACCTATCCCTAGGCTTTGAATCTTTACATCTTCTCCCCCTACTAAATCTCATATTGCTTATTTCAGAGACATACACATGTTAGCCAGGCGTGGTGTGCTTGCTTTAAATCCTAGAGCTTGAGAGGCAGGGGAAGGTGGATCCCTGTGAGATTGAGGCCAGTCTGGTCTACATAGTGAGTTCCAAGTCAGCTAGGACTATAGGAAGACTCTGTCTCAACCCCCCCCCCAAAAAAAAACCAAGCCAAACCAAACCAAACAAACAAAAACATACAGATGTTAACAGTCATGACAAGGATGAAATTGACAGTGTGGCTGTCCAGGAATAATAAGCTCCCTATGACACAAAAACTCTGGCCTGTACTTTGTCTTCCCCTGATTCTTGGTGACCCTCTGAGACTACTGACAGTCAGGTTCTCTGAGCCTCCCTTCATTCCTATAAGAAGCATTCCTATTCTTTATCTTAGATTTGACCAAAATGAGGAATAAATAATCCAAAGAAGACTGGGGAAGGTAATATATTTCCTTTATGACCAAGAAAAGCTAATTTGGAAGATTTGCATTCATTTAAGTCCACAAAGTGTTCAGTGATCAGATTCTAGAACTCGGCAAATTTAATATCCAATTTCAGGTTGCAAAACCAGAACTGAAAGTCTGCTGGCAGGGCATCTGGTTCCGGAGAGGACCCAGGAAGTGCTGAGTGGACCTGCCAAGTCACTGACTTAATGAGGCCCTGCCCCTTCCTAAGGCAGAAGGCACAAGGGCACCTGAAGTGACTCTAAATGTTCTTCCTCTACATGAAAGAAAATAGAAATCTGCTTTCAGAAATCTGTACATTACCAGCATGCCAGCACACACTTATAATCCAACACTCCAAGGCTGGACAGGAGGATTGAGAATTTGAGGCTGGGACTATATAGTTAGACCTTGTCTCATAAAGAAAAGGGAGGGTTAAAAAGGGAGGGAGTAAGGGAAGGAAGGAAGGAAGGAAGGAAGGAAGGAAGGAAGGAAGGAAGGAAGGAAGGAAAGAAGGAAGGAAAGAAGGCAGGCAGGCCAGGAAAATAAATCGTCTTAAGTCTCATTAGGCTTTCTGAACTTCTGAACTTTTTAAAATATAGGTTCCAACCACAGCATCATTTTCATGTTCACGTGTCCAGTACACAGACTATGCAGTCATTTCTCCACCATCCCCTTTAAAGACTCTTGTTCAACCATACCAGGGCCATGGTAATGTAGGGAGTCTCCCCTGATGATGACATTTCCATGACTCCTGTATTGCTCGGGTGCTCATGACTGGTACTCATCTCTTGGTGCCCAGCATGAGCACATTTCCCTTGTTGGCTTTCATTTTGGGCAGGTCTATTTGACCTCTCTTTCACTATTTCTATCTGTGGAAAGTGGCCTGCTTAGCACATTCTGAATGTTTCCACGCACATGATACAGTGCAGAGGAAGTAGTTTCTGGTTAATGACAATTGCCGTGAATATGTTCTAGCTCAAAGTACTTGAGTAGCAAGAGCTCAGAAAGCACATTCTTAACAACAGAGAGGAGATGTGGGGAGAAGTGGCTCCATGTGGGCTGTCACTAGCAAGGCAAAGGAAGTAGGGATCTCTCATCCTTCCTGGCTTGTGTGGTAACTGATTAGCACCATATCCTGAAGTCTCTCCATTCAGAACTTCTGAGATGATATTGAGAAGTGTTTAGGAAGAGCATTCACAAACCTTATTAGGACTATCTGATCTGGGATGAGGAAACGTAGGAACCAGAGTTAGAAAGAGAAATAGTTGTTTGGCTTATCAGAAAGATTAAAAAAGGCATTAACCTGGCTTATATTGACTATATTAAAACATACACACACTTTTGAAAAACAACAAAGCAATAAAATTCAGGGTTTAATGTGTAAGCCCCAGCAGTATCACATAGACCCACAAACTCAAAACTCTGTCCTTGCTCTCACTAACTTTCAAGGTTGATCAGGCAAAATGAAAAAGGGCGGAGAAACTCCTCAGGCAGAGCGGATAATAGCATGCCCTACTATATTACTTACATTTTATTTCCAGCCCAGTTACTGACTTCCTATGTGACCTTGAGTGAGTCATTTCATTCCCGTGTGTCAATTTTCTAATTTGTAATGTAGGATAATAAATAATACTTTCTGTCTCTCTCTCCTGGGTGATGTTATTATCACCAACAATTAATATTTATGGGATGCTCGTTGGGTCTGTAATGCTGATGTGGGTGCTTTGCCCTGGGAAGGGAGAGGAGATTGTATCAGCAGAACATTTTCCATGAAAAAAAGAGAGATTTATAAAGATAGGATTATTAGAGTTTAAAATAGCAATGGCAGATATTTTAAAGCATGCTTCTCTGCCAAGATTTATGTAATAGCTCCTTTGTTCTCACAGGCTGTACAATGCACCAGGGTAATTGTGCTTCAGAATATAAGTCTTACTTTGGGATAATTCCAGGTAACACTATGTCAAGCAATTACTGCACTCTGTATCTACCTGGAAAATATATCCTAAACAGCATTATCAGAAATATTTGTTATTTGTTGGTGGTATTAGATCAACTTTGTGTAGCAACTCTTCCTATTTGGAAAAACATCTTTTTATAACAGGATTATAACATCTAGACTCTGTAACATCATGTCTCGTGTCTTTTCTTCAGAAAGAATAGAGAGCATTTTGAGAAGTCCCCTCACTACCTCCTCTCAGCTAAGCAGAAACCCCAGCCCTGGTTTGTCCACACTGAATGAATGAGGGCCTTCAATGTCACTCTAATCAGTGGTGGCTTCCCATCTCCACTGCCATGTCCTCTCATGTGACAATTAGAAGAGCCCCAGCCTCATGTCTCTTGATTGGTTTACTGCCTTTACGCATCTGCCCTCCCCACCACTGATAAGAGGGAGTTTCAAAGTAAACCTATGAGTGGGAAGACATGACATGGTGTATTTACACAGCATATTATGCAGCCTTGAAAAGGAATGGCATGTAGGCCTTCACAACATGGATGGACTTGAAAACATTTTGCCAAATTAAACAAAAAACAAACACTGGGGGCTTAGAGAGATGGCTCAGGGTTAAGAGCAGTGATTGCTCTATCAGAGGACCCTGGTTCAGTTCCCAGCACCCAAATGGTGGTGAGAAACTGTCTATAACTCCAGTCCCAGGAAATCTGACACCTTTTTCTGGCCGCCATGGGCATTGTATCCATGGGTGCACTTGCAGGCAAAACAATCATACACACAAATTTTTTTAATTAAAATTTTAAATAAGAACAAATACTGGATGAACCATTTACTTAAGATACCTAGAATGCATAGTCATAAAACAGCAAGGAGAGCGATGGTTGCCAGGAGCTGGGAGGACTGGAGGAGTACTGGGAATTACTGGAGTTACTGCTAAAGGGTACAAGGGTTCTTTCTGGAACGATGTCCTAGTTCTTAAGATGGGTGGGGGTGATGGTTATAAAACATATGAATGTGCTTAATACCACTGAATCACACTCTCAAAAAGAGCTAAAGTAGCTATGCACTGTGTCATATGCCTTTAGTCCCAGCACTGGAGAGGCACAAGCCAACAAATCTCTAAGTTCAAGGCCGGCCTCGACTACATAACAAGACTCTGTCTAAAAAAAAAATTTAGGGGTGTGCTAGTGCATGCCTTTAGTCCCAGCACTTGGGAGGCAGAGGCAGGCAGATCTCTATGAGTTGAAGGCCAGTCAGGTCTACATAGTGAGTTCCAGGCCAGGTGGGGGCTATGGGGAGACCCTGTGTCAAAAAGACCAAAAATAGAAAAAAGTTAGAATTATCATTATTATGTTACATATATTTTTATTACGACAAAGACGAAAGTAAATTTGGCCCTTCATTTTCTTGTTCATAAATGATCATTAAATATTACAGAATGAAACACAAACTCCTTAGCATAGCATTAAAAACCTTCAGGCTTGAACCCCAGGTCATGGTTCCACTGTTCCACATACTCTGAGCCTGTCTACACCACAGTCATTCCTTTCCACCACATTGCCAAACTGAGAGTCGCTGAACGTGATCTTACTTGGAATCCTGTTCCTTGGCTCTCAAGCCTTTTTCGGCTTCAACTCCATGCCTTTTGCTTCCACTCTCTTTCTCTAGCTATTGAGACTTAAATATCTACCAAGCCGAACTCGAAGCCAGGTTCTCTTCTATAAAGTCTCCATGTGGATAGCTGGGCATGATGGTGCATACCTATATTTACAATATTCGGGAGGCTGAGACAGAAAGATTGATGTGAATTTAAGGTCACCCTTACCTACATAGCAAATACCAGGCCAACCAGGGTTACATAACAAAATCTTGTTTAAAAATGAAATAAAATGCCCCACAAAAGTAATCATACACACCATTCATGGTCTAATCCCAATATGTCTTCTTTGAGTTACCCATTAACTCTGACTACAGTGTGAGTTTCCGCATGACAGAGGCAGCTTATCACCAGTCTTTGCATGCGTGTGGTGGTTATTAGCAAGTGTTGTATTTAGTTTATTTTATCATGTAATGATGATTATTAGAGCAGGGACTAAGGGGGAGGGAAGTGAAGATCTTAAGGCACAAAAATCTATGTATTTCTGTGAATGCCTTTTAGGGTGTTGTGCTCCAGAGGCTTCACTTACTTCTCTATAGATCCATCCTTGGGGATTAGTAATTTCTTAGCAAGTACCTATTGTATTAGTTATCTACTACTATATAGTTAATCTCAACTATTAGCAGCTTAAAAAAATAAGCATTTATTACTTCTATTTCATGGTCAGGACCCTGGAGAAGTGGCTTGACTCTTTGGTTCTGGCTCAAGTTTATTCATGATGGCCTAATCAGAATGTGTGTGGGCACTGAAGTCATCTGAAGGTCTGGCTGCAGCAGCAGCATCAGGTTCCCAGGCAGCTAGTTCATGTGCATAGCTTCTGGGAGGCTTCATTTCCCTTGATATCTGAGCCTCTCAGGGCTGCTCAAGTGTTTGCAGATTATGGCGTCTAGCTTCTCGTGCATAGAGTAAGGGATCCAAGAAAAGACACAGTAGAAGTTGCATACTCTTCTGTGTCCCAACCACAAAAGAATCACACCCCATCATTTCTGCTGTGTCCTGGGTTACACAGGTCAGGAAATGAAAGAGGAGAGTACACAGGTGTGTGAAGAGTATCAGGAGGCAGAGGGCTTTCGGAGCCACGTGAGAACATGGCTTCTGTGCACATCCGGGTTGAACTGCATGAAACCAAGATTAGCCACATTAAGACAGTAGTGCTCTGGCACCTGCCACTACCATATTATGAAATTAAATATTAATACTTATGTCTTCTTTCTAGGCACCTCTAATGATCATTTTCAGATATTGGTTTTGTAGATTCACATTAAAGTTTTTTGCTCACATCATTCTTCCAGTTTAAACTAGAAACTCTAGCCCCTTCTGCCATCCTGCCAAGCTAATCTTTCCTTTTGGGAACAGGTGAAGCAACTTCCTTGAGCATGGAGGCAGCTGTTTGTGCCCCAATGCTCAACAGCAGCATCTTTTCCCACAGCACAGGCAAATCATGTGCTGCCTAATTCCGTTCCTATTGCTGACCTCTGATCCTAACTAAACAGAAGGCCTGCAGAAAGGAGACTGTATCTTTAGATCACTGTAACCCAGTTCCATTCAAAGCATTGGTAATTAGCCCTGCTAATTATGAGCCCCGAGGGTTCCATGTAATATTCCTTATCATTACATTTCATAATGGATGCTTCTTTATTGCAAATGAAAAGATTCTGGTGCTGCGAAAAGTTAGAGTAGCCATGTTCTTATTCCACATTGACTCAAGTTGCATTTTTGAACAGGGTTCTGCTGGACTTGGAAGGAAGCATATTATAATACCAACATTTGTATTTCAAGATTCTAAAAATCTCTGAATTTGTGTGTGTGTGTGTGTGTGTGTGTGTGTGTGTGTGTGTGTTATTTGAACCCTAACTGGCCTCAAACAACACTGGTCTCTATGTAGCCCCAGCTGGACTTGAATGCCTGATCATCCACCCTCTTCTTCTCAAGCACCACTGTGATTACAAGGATGTATTACCATGCCTGGCTATAAGACTAGAGTATTATTAAAATTATCTCTTTTTCCATAATCCTGAGTGGTCCAGATAAAACAAAAAGTATAAACTGGGCCTAGTGACTCAGGCCTGTAATCTCAGTTATTCAAGAACCTGTAACAAGAGGATCTTGAGTTCAAGACCTGCCTGGGCTCCAAAGTGAGAGCTTCTGAAACTTAGCGAGATCCTGTCTTAAAAAAGCATAATAAATAAATAAATAAATAAATAAATAAATAAATAAATAAATAAATAAAAGTAGCTTGATTAATGATGGATCCATCACTACTTGACATTTAAGCTACAGTATCAAGTTTGAGAGCAATCTATTTTGAATTGTGAATGCGTTCTATTTTGGAGGGCCAGAAAGGCAAGATAAAATAATTGACTGGCTGCTTTAATACAGGTAACCTATTAAATTATGCATCCCTTATAGGAATCCAGCGTGCATTGTTATGAGATCCCTTTGCCTACAAGGAAACTAGAGCTTAGAGCAATCAAGCTGCTTCTCTAGAAAAGCTACACAGCTAAAATGTTAATCGAGGCTTTGCAGTTCCCAGGCATGCACCAAAACTTTGAAATCCTTCTCTGTCTACCATACAACACTGCCTTCTATGTTGTCCCAAGTAGAGGTCAGAGTGGTAACACTACAGTGGTGACAAAGGGCCAGCCATCTCCCTTGGGGTTTATTTTTTCCAGAGTCCCCACCTCAGGAACCTGGCCTCCCAAACACCACAGCAGTGCCTGTTTTAGAGGACATGCTGACACATAAAGCGTTGTCCTAAAAGATGCTGTGCTCTTGGTCTAATTGCAGGCGTGTTGGGGGCGCCATTTTTGTTGGAGGACCCAGCAAACCAGTTCCTACACCTCAAAAGACATGTACACTTGCAAGATTTCTGGGACCCAGAAAACAGTCCAAATGAGTGGGGAATCACACTGCTTGATCAGGTATTGGTATTCAATATAAGTGGTCCTTTCCCATTACCTTTTTTAATTATCATTGAGTTGGCTGGCATGCCTTGCTTCACACTTTCCTCTCTAGCTTCTCTGAGCTATACTCTGTCTTCCCTCCCCATAAAGTGGCTTTTGCCTGATAAATGTCATGTCTTTCTTAAAGACTTAACCTATCCTTTCCTCTCTGAAATCCTCCCCTGCCTTTTCAGGAGACTTTTGACTCCCCCCACCCCTTCATGCCATTTGCAAGTGAACAGCCCAAGATGTAGCGTGGGAATTGTTAGTTTCATGTACCCAACCTCTCTAAATTACAAATGTAAGGGCCATGTCACCAAGGTAATTATACTTTGGACTTAGCAAAATGACTGTTACGTAATCAAGGCTTACTACATTATTGAGTGCCTGAGTAGATGGATTGGCAGTGGTCCCAATTTGGTATGCTCTCACTGTTCGGTGGCTAACTTTCCTCTGTGTTCATCATCAAGCCTTGGAAGTTGTCCCTTTCTTTGCTGGCTTTTTGTGCATTTTCCTATTCATTTGCACTCCCACTCCAGGAGAAATAAAGAGGCCACCTCCATTAGCCAGTTTTGTCTCATGTTTACTTTCCTGATGGAAGAAGACACTGAAGCTCTGGTGAAATTGCTAAATTGCGTGAGGATGCCTTGTTACTAATGGTTCCCCTCTTATAATTTACAAATTTAGAAAAAAACAAAATCTATGACAAATCATTGAATTATTTCCCTCATTCTTTCTTTCTGTGTGCATCAGGCTCTCACTATCATCACATATGAGGGCTTCATTAAAAACATCAAAAACTGAGTTTTCATGTTTTCATGTAGGTCCAGTCCTAGCCTTCTCCTGCATGGCTGGGTCTAACTGGTCTACCAGGATCATTTTGTGTCTGCTTAACATTTGCTGATGAAAACCACCAGCCTGGATAATGCATCTAGTTTTATTCTTGTTTTTTCTCCAACAGGCATCATTTAGAAGTATTAAAACAAGACGTTGTTTATTTGGCAAATTAAATAATTACATGGGTTTGACAGACTGTGTCTTTTTTATGGAATGTTGAAATTTTCAAGTGCACGCCTGCTTCCAGCTGTAGACCCGTTCTGTAATCAACAGATTCTGTAATATAACAAGATGGCCACACTGATTCATACTGTGTCCCCACAAACACTGCAGCAGATTCGATTATTAGCATAAACAGATAAACAAGTGGGAAAACTGAAGCCTGTTAGTTCTCCTTCTTCCATTATATATGTCCCACTGTTTTAGAAACATTTGTTAGATGATCAAAAAAACTAATACAGTTCTTATCCTACCTGATCAGAGATCCTGACTTATGCTTCTTTTCTACAGGCTCGAGAAACATGGACGTCTTTGAAAGCAACTGCCCATCACTATTTTGGCATGAATACTATCGCCTTTGATGTATCTACTGCCCAGTAAAAGTGCTCTTCTGTTTAAGGCAAGGGAACAAAGATGGTAGAAGTTTGCATGACAATGTGCTGAAGCCACGGGCTTTTTAGAAACTGGGGCAGATCCATGCCACTGCTACATTATTTATTATGTTTATCTTATGGAGCTGTTGAAAAGAGCCATTAGGAAAACCCATGTAGACCTCTGGAGTTCGAAGTGCTTTACAAATGACCACTCTTGAAATGAGAACTAAATAAAGGCTGAAGCTAAAACATTTACCAAAAAAGCTTTTATGAAAAAAGTAAAGCAAAAACAAAACAACAGTGTCATTAAAACATTTTATTCACAGTTCTGGGTTTTGTTGCCTGTTCTTTGAGAGAGTTCATTCATTTCTATTATTTGTTTATTTTTAAAAATATTTTATTTATTCTTTTTATGTGTATGAATGTATTGCCTGCGTGTATGTAAGTGCACCTGTGTCATGTAGTGCCCACAGAGATCAGAAGAGGGCTTTGGATCTCCTGGAACTGGAGTTATGGATGGTTGTTAGCTGCCATGTGGGTGCTGGGAGTTGAAACTGAGTCCTTTGCAAGAGCAACCAGTGCTCTTAACTGCTGAGCCATCTCTCCAGCCCCCATTTCCATTTTTTTTTAAATTCAAAGAATAGTTATCACAAATTAAGCTGGTACCCTGGCTCTTTTTTCAATATTTTTCCACTTTCTAAAGTCATTATATTTCACTTTTTTATTTTATTTTTCCAGTTAGCATACAAGACAATGAGTTCCATCATGGCATCTTCATCCATCTGTGTCCTTATACTCTGTTCTCATTTTTCCCCTTCCGTTGAACCCCCTCTCCCTCTCTATCTGGTTCCTTCCCTCTGCACAGTTAGTCCCCCTTTTTGCTTTCTTATCACATGTATCCAATTACCCTCCCCCCCAATTTCTTCCTCCCTTCCTCTGATCCCTTTCTGGTTTAATGATCGATAAACACATATATAAACACACACACACATAAAATTTTGAATCCAGTTTGTACATTTAAGAGGAAACATGTGGTGTTTGCCTTTCAGAGTCTGGTTTATTTAACATAATGATTTCTAGTTCTATCCATTTTCCTACACATGTCATGAATTCATTTTTCTTTACGGCTGCATAAAATTCCACTGTGTACTTGCACCACATTTTCTTTTCTCATTCATCTATTAATGGACATTTAAGCTGGTTCCATTTCCTAAACAGTCTACTATAAGACCATGTTTTTGAAACTTTATTGATCATCCTGCTGAATGTAGTAATAAATATAATGCAGAAACCTACCAGAAGCCTCTGCTTTATGGATGTTTTGTAAAATGTGCAAAGCTTGCACTTGGCTCCTAAACATATTTATGTTTGTGTTAGTAAGAAATAATAGCTTTAACATACTGGTTGAATACATTATTAATCTTTCTCAGTGAAGCAGAAAATTTGACTCTAAAGGAAATGGGCAACTTTTATTTTATGACCTTTCATATATCTATGGAATACCACTTCAGTTTGAAAAGTAACAAAATGTGACAACCAATCACAAAGATTGCTTCCCAAATCACACATAAGTAAAACTTTTGTCTTCAGAAGTCTGTTCTCCATGTACCTAGATCAGTTGTTCCCTGATAACAATTTCTTTTGGACTTTTTGGATAAAGTGATCTTTCTAAGACTATACTGGGTCTTCTATGGTGTTCAACATTCCTAAACACTTTCTGGCCAACAAGTAAATAAAGAAAGCCAGATACAGAGAGCTGCACTGTAAGACTACCTTAGAGGTCAGAGGACGCTGGTAGCTGCTGTGTGGTGCCTGTTTCCTGCCCTATTGCCCTCAGTGAGAAATCTGAGGCTATTTGTCAATTATTAAGATAACTGCTGTACAATTTCAGTGCACACTACAGAATGGGATAAAGGTGTAGCTCTGTGGTAAAGTCCTTACCTAGCATGAGCAAGGCAAGGTCTAGGTTTGATTCCCTAGAGCAGCAAAGAAAAAAATTAAGAAAAGAATGCTACAGTGGAAGAAACAAATAAAGCAATGAATATGGATTTTTGGTTTTGCTATAGGTAAGAAATTTGAGATTGTCCATAAACATATCTTTAGTGTTTTAAGAATTACAGATATGGGGGCTGGAGAGATGGCTCAGCAGTTAAGTGCACTGACTGCTCTTGCAGAGGACCCGGATTCAATTCTCAGCACCCACATGGTGGCTAACAACTGTCCATAATTCCAGTTTCAGGGAACCTGATGCCTTCTTCTGACCTCCACGGGCATTGCACAACATGAGTGAACTTATATACATGTAGATAATATACTCATATGCATAAAATACAAATAATAAATAGAAAAAATATTTTTAAAAGAATTATAGATGTGGAACTGGAGAGATGGCTCAGTGGTTAAAAGCACCGGCTACTCTTTTTTAACAGATATTTTATGGGGGCTGGAGAGATGGGTCAGTGGTTAAGAGCACTGGCTGCTCTTGCAGAAAACCTGGGTTTGAATCCTAGTGTCCACATAGCAGTTAAAAACCATCCATAACTCCAGTTTCAGGGGATCCAAGACCCCCTTCTGTCCTCTGTGGGCATTGCATGACATGGGTGCACTTACATACATGCAGACATAACACTCATGCACATAAAAGATAATTTTTAAAAGATATTTTATTTATTATTCTTATTTTATGTGTATGACTATATTGCCTGCATGGATGTAAAATGTACCTGTGTCGTGCAATGCCAGAGGAAGCCAGAAGAGGGCATCGGATCCTCTGGAAGTAGAGTTACGAATGGTTGTTAGAAGCCATGTGGGTGCTGGGAATTAAACCCAGGGCCTCTGTAAGAGCAGCCAGTTCTCTTAACCTCTGAGCCACCTCTCCAGCCCCAGCATTTTGGCTGCTCTTACAGAGAACCTGGGTTCAGTTTCCAGTACCCACTTGGTGCCTAACAAACATCTGTAACTCCACTTCCTGGGAATCTGATGCTGTCTTCTGGCCTCTATGGGCACTACATGCATGCATTTACAAGCAGAGAAAAATTTATACACATACAGTAAAAATAAATAAATAAATGAATAAATAAATAGTCCAGCACTCACTCTAGGTCTTTACAAAAAAAATAGAATTATAGGGGCTGAAGAAATGGCTCAGCAGCTAAGAGCACTGGTTGCTCATCCAAAGGACCTGGGTTCAGTTTCCAGCACCCGTATGGCAGCTAACAACCATCTGTTACTCTAGTTCCAGGGGATCTGGTGCCTCTCTTTTGGCCTCCATGGGCATTGCATGGCTTGGATGCATTTACATACCATCAGGCAAAACATTAATACATGTAAAATAAAAATAAATAAATAAATTCAAAAAGAATTATAGATATTTTGCTATTCTTTGAGGAGTAATTATACTTAGAAAATAACAGTTATCTCAAAAATAAAATCATATTGGAGAGATGGCTTGGCTGTTAAGACCACCAGTTGCTCTTCCAGAGGACCCAGGTTCAGTTCCCAGCACCTACATGGTAGCTAACCACCTCCTATAACTCCAATTTCAGAGGATCCGGTGCCCTCTTCTGACCTGTACAGGCATTACACACACATGGTGCACTTACATCTGTGCAGACAAAATACTTATACACATAAAATAAAAATAAATAAATAAAAAAGAATTTGAGCCAGGTGTGGTGGCACATGATTTTAATCCCAGCCCTAGAGGGGCAGCAGCAGGTAGATCTCTGTGAGATCAAGGCCAACCTGGTCTACATAGTGAGTTCTAGGCCAGCTGGAGCTGTAGCGAAACCCTGTCTCAAAAAGACCAAAATAAATAAATAAGCAATAAATAAATAAAAACCAGTAGAATGTAAATGCATGTTTCTGTCTGAGTATATTTGTTTGTTTTAAGGAATTTGCTTATGTACTTATGGCAGCTAGCAGGGCCAAAAGTGCAGTGTGGGCTGGTAGCCTGGAGAAAGGAGAAGAAACCGAGCCTCAGTGTAACCTGGAAGGCTGTGTGCCAGCTAATCTCCCTTTAGGTCAGAGTAGGTCCATCTTTTCTATTCACAACTTCTGATTGGATGGAATCTGTCATATTATAGAGAGTAATCTGCAGTAGCTGAAGTTCAGTGACTTAAAGTAAATCTCACCAAAAAACAGTGTCACTAAAATATCTAGCACCATGTTGTACCCATATTTTAGTGCTTCATTCAATCAAGGTGACACATAAAATGAACCATTCTAACTAATTTATAATGCATGTATACATGTTCACTTATACTGCTATGATGGGAGCCAAATTTGGTGGAAAAGAGGAAAGAATTTTAATTTATTCATTTTGTTCAGCGAAAGCTAGGTGAATTGCAGATTACTAATGAAGTGAAAATGTAAGTTAGCTGCCAAGTTGACTGAGCTTTAAGTAACACCAGGAAGCAATTCTGCACAATTAGATTGCTATCAAACAGACAAGCAGAGGTTTCTTACTCAATTGTAATTTCATGAGAAATTTTTGAAAACCCACAGGGTATCAGAAAGCAAGCAAACAGGGCTAGAGAGATGGCAGTTAAGAGTACTGGCTGCTCTTGCAGCAGACCCAGGTTCAGTTCCAGCAACCGCATGGTGGCTAACAACCATCCCGTTCTAGGGGATCTGACACCCTCTCTGACCTTGGCAGGCATTGCATGACATGGGTTCACTTACACATATGCAGGCAATACACTCATACCCATAAAGTAAAAATAAATTAAAAATTAAAAAATAAGACAATAACAAAACAGCCTGTTTAAGTAAAATGATTTTTCTAACAATCTAATGGACACTCCAACAGCTGAATAAGAAGTGAAGTGTCCAGACTTTTAGGCAGAGTTTAAGAATACCCAAGAACCATGTACACAGTGTCTCCATGCAAAAATAACTTACACAACCCTGACCTCAGTGCTTAAAGAAATTCATTACCTTGGGGTGTCAGTTATCTGGCTGGTTCAATTTAATAGATTATATTCAAAATGGCATGTGAGGTGGCAT